ACAGCTGTGTATGACTTAGACCAGCTGGGAAGAAGAAAGGGACTAAATGAGTCACTAGAAGGATCTAGTATTTTGTCTAACCTGCATTTTAACACTCCAGCAGCACAACTGTTGGTAAGCAAAATAAGATCAGATCATTATCCAGCAAGGGGTGGAGCTGTAAAGTCTCTTGGAAGCACAGTAGAAAACACAGTCCTGGGGGCAGGCAGGCAAAGATGACATTTCAGCCCTATCTGTGCACTGCTGAGATACTACCAGCAGCTGGAAAAGCCCTCAGCACAACTGAGGAGGGTCATGGGTTATACAAAATTACCACAGACCATCTGGCACTCACAAGCATGCCTGTGCTGCTCCATAGACAAGAGGGAGGGAAAACCTTTTGGAAAGCCTTACTCAGCAGCCTTAGCACAGCAGTTTCCATGCAGCAGAGAGACATCAGTTTCTATAACATGACACACAGGCACTAACAGCTCGATATGAAATCTTTTATGGCTTTACAGCACTCTCTCCTAGGATCAGTTTGTGACCCTCACCCATTTACATGACTAAAGCTCACTTATGGCAGAACTCAGTGGTTTTTGAAAGAGTTGGATGGTTGAAGTCTACTTTATTCATGGTAATGATATAAAGTGCAAGCAGAGCCTTCACTTGTAGAAACAAGTGAAATGAAAAAAAGGAAACCACTTTCTGTGGAAGAACAAGGCTCCCTTGAGAAGATGCTCATCTGAATTTCAATGAGCTAGAGAAATTACTGTAAACTTCTATACAATCCCTCCTAATTGGTTCAAGGGATGAGCTGAAGAAACCCACACAGAACTTCTTGTACTTCACATATTCACACAGACAGAGGTCTCTGCTGAACTCACTTTTATTATCCTAACTCTGACCACTTTTGCACATCTCCTGTTTACTAACATAAGGCAAGCAATGGTATTTACACTCTCAAGAGAGCAGACAATGATTTGATGTATAAACTTGAAGAATGGCTTGATGTATGCTGGTGACTAGGAGAGAGCCAGCCAGCAGCATTATTAAACATGCTATTGGTTCATTCTTTTATTGGAGGATACTGTCCTCAACAACTGCCGGTCCACTGTCAGAATATAACCTATATTTTAAATCAGGAAAAAACAATGTCAACTAATCTGTATACTTAGAGAGTTCTTCTCCTTCCTTGGGGTGAAACTATCAGACACTGAACACATTCCCATTTTTTTAAATGCATATTTTCCCATTTTTTCTTTAGGTACAAGGCTATCAAAAGAGTAGCATTCCTAATGAAATGTATTCTGTTAAGCTACCTGACAATGGATACATCTTTTAGGCCCCAGTAAAAAGTTTGCATTTGTTTTTAAAACCAACCAACTAACAAACAAAAAAACCCAAAATCCCCATGTCCCCAAAAGGTATTCCAGCAAATAAGCTAGATTCCCCTTCCCTCTCTCCAACCATTAAAAAAAAAAAAAAAGGACAAAAGGAATAAGAGGAATATATTCCAAACTTTTCTTATGAAAATAAAAAAGAAAAGGAAAGGGGAGGAGGGAAATTAACTGTCAAAATTGATTTTTTGAAACTTGAATCTTCATTAAAGCTGTTTTGTTATGAGATTTCTTCATTAACTTCCTTTTCCTTCTGTTACAAAGTGGTCAAAAATGACATTTCTAAGAGTTCTGCTTTACTTTGAAGCTGTATCTTAAATTGAAAGGTTCTGAATCTAGGCTGTTTTTATTTGAAACATTACCTAGCAAAATTATACATTTCAGCTGGAGAAAAGCTTTAGAGGCTTATTTGAATTCATGCTACCCAGATGTCATGGAGTTACTTTGCCTTTAAGAAAGTTTAAGTTGCTGGGAACTGCCTGGAGTCTTTTCTCCTGACCAATTATCGGTCATTGCTGAGAATTGACAGCAGTTTAGGCCATTGAAAAGTGGGATCAACTTGTGAACCCTACCTTAAAGTGTAAAACCAGAGCTCTCTTGGTTCTCTTTGTTTCCTGGCTGGGAAGGGCGGCAAAGCTCCAGGCCTCCCGTTCCCTGCCCAGGCCATGCGGCCGGGCGGGGGCTGGGCTGGGCCCAGCGTCTCCCGGCCGGGGGATGCGGGCCCTGTGGAGGGGGTTTTCTCCGGGCTCCGGCCGGGCCGGGCCGAGCCGATCTCTGGCTCGGCTGCAGGTTTTTTGCTGTGGCTGGATTCACTGGAGACTGCTGAGTGAAGAAGGAGAGAGGGCTCTGGGCCTGCAGCGGGCTGGGCGCAGCGCCTACACTCTCCAGAGCAGCCATGAGGAACTTTCCATCGCAGACGGCTCCAGCTCCTGCACCGGCCGAGGCCACAGAACTACCTACAACAGCCTGGGCAAGATTTTAACTCTTTCATTACCCAGATGAGACTTGCGGATTAATCTTTTTATCCAGAGAGAGAAAAAGAGAGTGATCAACATGAAAAGAGACTTTATAAACTACCAGTGACAGGAAAGAAAAGAAGCTTCAGAAAAGGTAGAGAATTAAGAAGATGCTTTAATTAAGCTGAAATATCTTTCTGTTAAAACTATGGAAATGGACAATAAGGTCTTGAAAACACTCCTTTAATTCATGACAGTAAATAGGGAGGAATAGAGTGTTCAAAGTGTAAATTTTGAGTAAAAAAGTAGAGTAATTATGGTACAGTGAAATGCTGGAAGATTTGAAGCCTTGAGAGGCAATGAGAAAACTGTTTTCTAGTGAAGCTCACAGAAACAGATGAAGAAGACTTTTTGCCTTTGAATAACTTATCCTTAAAAATCCCATCCCTAGACTCATGGCCCATACACACTTGAGAGTGATGTGAAAATGGGAGGAGTGGGCTCTAATAAGAAAAGCTCTGGGCAGCTAACAGAGCAATGGAAAACTATAAAAAAAATAGTTTTTCTTGTGAGAAACTCCATAAATTAACAGGAAGAAACTTCTGTTTCTCTTTATAAAGACTGGTGAAAAGACTGTAGCAAGAATTGGGACTGTTTTAACCATCAAAGTTCCAAAGTTTTTGTCTCTTTTGTCATGTGAACAAGGGAATAGTGGGTAGATAGGGGATGAAAAGGTTTTTCTGGAAGTTTATTCTGGTGTTCTTATTGTAGTTTGTCAATAAACTTTTTTTTTTTTTCCTTTTAAGTTGTATGCCTGTTTTGCTCTTGTTCTAATCCATATCTCACAGCAAGAAATAAGTAATTTTCTTAGTTATTGGTTTAAAACCACGACACCAGATTTGATCCTCTTTTGGTTTCAAGAGCATCCCCAAAAGTGCATCCATGAGCCAGATGCAAATTCCATCCCTGTCTAAAATGTAATCTTAAAACTTACTCTTTAAACTTTCCTTAGAGACTCTTTTTTTAGCTTATGATATATATATAAATGAGTAATATGAGCAACTATATGAAGACCAAAAAAGAGAAACTCTCTCAAGTTACTGCTCTAAGCAGGGGCAGGGTTCGAGGAAGCCTCTTGGGCTCTTGCTTGCTTTTTTTTTCTTGATTGCTCAAGCTGTAGAGCAGGTGTAGCTAACTACTTAAAGACCTAAGAACCTATAATAAACAAAAATCTATAACCACCTTATTTGCATGAAAATAAAATATTTTTCAGGACATACTATCTTGGAAATGTCTCTCTAATAAAAACACTAAAGATTTTCTCTTTCCATAAAAATTCAAGCAAATTCTTAGCTCTTAATTACTTGAACTATTTTTAGACTAATACCATTTGCACATCTTGGAAAACAAGTTTAGGACTGAATCTTCACCATCTGGGACCTGCAAACTCTATCTGATAAACCCCTGGAAGGAGAAACAAACGTACAGCTTCTCCAAGTATTTAACACTTAAAGAGAAATTTACATCCCTCTGAGAACCTGGCATGTCAATTAAATCCATACACTCTAGAAGCATCAAAAGATGCAGCTATACTTTGTTTTATAACAAAGAGTATCTTTTTGTCTTTCAAAAAGACAGCACACAAAGGCCTTAAGACTTGTCTTAAACTTATGGACTGAAGTATATGGAGTAAAAATATTAAGAGAGGGTTAAGTAGCACACAGAAACAAAGCTTGATCTTCACGTCTGTTTCCATCATTTTTCATTCAGATCTGAATATCTTTTAAATTTAAGAGTTGAGTAAAATAAATATTTCTATATTCAAAAGTATGAGTGAACAAAACTAAATATATAGAACCCTCTCGTTATCAATACAACAAAAAAATTAAGAAGGGTAACAATTTATTAATTATACCTGTTCAGTAATGGAAATGGTGCTTATTTGGTGGACTACATTTTATTAATACAAAAACTCCAATTACAACCCATGAAAGCCTTTTTCAATACAAATATACTCATTCAGGGCAAAGTTCACTCACTAGAAGATTCCATTACAACAGCACTGTAATATGTGCTAACAATATTTCAAGGAGAAGCCTAAAGTCAGAGAGGTCACCTAGAATCCTCTTCACACACCAAGAGAAGAATAGAAATAGAAATGTTAGCATTTGTTTCAAAAAGCAAAGGCATAAAAATCTGTAAATTCTGCACTAGGATTTAATTATTTAAATATCTTTTGTCTTGGTTTGTACTTGCACTCTGCCATGCCCCAAATTGGCATTCTTTCTAAACTGTTATATAGAATATCATTACTTGCTAAAGATGTCCAGAATTCTGGTAAGGGATTCTTTGCCCCTGCTCAGTGCTGTGTTTTGCATGGGAGCAGAAGGGTGATTTTTCACCCAGCTGTCATATCCCCAATATTTCAGGGTTTCTGGCTGGACCACTGCTCCAGAGCAGCCCTGTGCACTGAAGAACACAATTCTTTCTTTTACCTGCACCCATTGCCAGGCTGCTGAATGCAGCCATGAACAAAGGGTATTTCCTACTTTGAACTATTTTTGGTATTATTCTAATGCAAGTTCCTTAACACTTTTATGCATATCAATGCTGCACGTACAGGAGTTTTTAAGATTTCAAATGTTTTCACGATACCATTTCTTACCTATGTAGTTTATCCTCCAGAACCTCCATGTACTTCTCAGCATTTTCTTTTACACTGGTCACTGCAAAATAAAGGCCAAATTTAGGTAATGATATAACTGTACAGTTCTATGGGGGTTTTCCTTTTTTGAACCAATTCATCTCTTACCCACATATTTTACACATATCAGTTAGGAATAAGAATTTCATTAATCTTTTTCACTTTCAAATTACAGTGTGGGTGTCTTCTCCCTTTTTTCTTGAAAGTCTATTGTATCTATATTATAATAATAGATCACTAAAGAATGCATTAATCTCTTGGTTGGGCCAGAAAAATGGTGAGACTAACAAAGGCACAGTTTGTAGAAGTTTCCTCTTGACAAAATAAAAAACAAAGACAACAATGACGGCCAAAAAAAAAAATCACCTCCACAAAAAAAGAAGTATTACCCACGCAGCTAGGTCCTCCTCTTTACCTTTAGGAGAAGTAAGCCAGACTAACAAATGTATCAGTCCATGCACAACAGTCCTTTAAATTGTTATTAATCTTGTATCAAACTTCTTCTGATAAAACCAAAACACTATAGAATGAAAAGAAATACCGCTCAAGATTGTTATGAAATTTAGGTTGTGTTTTTTTTTGTGGTTTAGTGTCTGGGAGGACAGTTGTGTGTGTGTTTCTTTGCTTGTTTTTAAAATTCAGACCTAGACATTCTCTGTCCCTACAACTTCTTCACCCAGAAGACACTCCAAAAGATTACTTACCATAACACACAAAAGAACAAAGCTGTTCCTTTGAATCACCATTGGCACTGCATCAATGGTAGAAAGTAAACTTCTTTCAGGAAAATGAAGGTTTTTAGGTAATAACCATTTTCACAATGTGACAACTTTCTTCCCTCCTCCCTAACAGCTGCTTGCAAAATCCATCTAGTGGGACTGTGAATCATTTGGTCTCTTTTAAATTCTTAATTCACTGTACATCAAATATTTATTTTATATGAAGAGGCATCCTACAGAGCATCACTGTTTTTACAGGCAAAACATACTACAAAGATCAGGTACCCTGTGGATTTATCCACCCATCTCCCCCACCTTCCGTACAATACGACGGCTCCAAGCACAGCTTCCACACATCAAGTGCTTCCCCCTTCTGTGTTTGTTGGGTTTTTTTTCCTTCACAACGTAGACGGTTCACCCACTAAAGCCTAACCTGAAAACTTGGTATTAGCCAAATTAAAGTTTACACACAGAGGAGTTGACTGAGGTAGCACCATTAGCAGCAAGCATCAGGGTCAGTGTAACATCGACTGTCTGCAGAAGGTGCTGGTCACCAGGTCACGCAGCAGTCACACATCACTGAAGCTGTCTGCAATACAATGGCAAGCACAGAACACATTTTGCAAGGTTGATTTACTTTTTGGTTGCTTGTTTTGTTTCGTTTTGCTTGTTATATGGGTTTATTAGGTTAGCAAACAAACAAACAAACCAAACACAAAAAAGCCTGAAACAAACAAAGAACCCAAACCCACCACACCCCCAGTATCTGGAAGCAGGATTCTGCAGTATTATATTGTACACAGACAACTGCATTAGTTTATACGTTCACAGGCTCAATTACTCATTAGAAGAGTGCTGATGGATGTTATGCAAAAGGGTTTATAAGGATTTCTGTAATGGCACTGGAGACTAAATAACTTTTCCTAGCTTGTAGCAGTTCTGTAACAACTACAGGGCTTAGTAAAAGCTCACAGTTTCCTTATGGTGCTTTTATTCCTACACTTCCTGTGGAACTGCGGAGCGCCTGCAAGACGGCAAGTCTTTCTTTAATGACACACTACAGCTTTATAAAAACGGCCACCACTTCTTGCAAACTCCCTATCCATCAACCCCCAAATGTGCTGACCTGAGGCCCAGTGCATGCTTTGATAGCAAACAGCTTCAAGGTGTTCGGGTGCTGTACTTCCCCTTCTCTTGCCATTGTCACAGTGTCCTTCAACATGAGCTGTTACAACTCAGGGGCTTATTCTTTTGGATAATAAAGTCAGCAGATATTATTAATTTTTTGAGAGGGATGAGAAGAGGTGGAGAATCTGTTTCACACTCACTTTGTTTCTAACCGATATAGTGACTTCTTACGTTACATGAAAGATAAACCTTGCTTTCAATTTCTCCTGCTGTGCTTGTCACTTTTTAATTGGGTTTGATCTGATACAGTAATTCGCACTTTCACAGTTCAGTCCTGCCCCTACATGCAATTTTACAATGCCCTTGAAGCACACAGCTTAATATACCAGTATTATTCAATGACAAAAAGTAATGGACAAGAATACACCACTAGTCAAAAGTAGGTCAGCAAAAAGCTAACACTCATTTGGAAATCACCTCACATCACTAAACCCTACTCTCTCCTGTCAAACGTTTTTACATTAAAAGAAATGCAAACTTTGCTGCTGAAAAAGAAAGCTCCCCAGACTAGCTTTGTCTCCTTGCCTTCTTCCCCGTGTAATTGGAAAAGCTGTGACCTGGAGATTTTGCTGGAAGGAAAACACATCTTAAAAATCTGATTAAGGTTACTTCCCTTGCAACTAACTGTAGACAGCACTGCAACAAATACAGAAATACTTTCAGACTTTTAGATCACCCATTGAAATAGAAGACAAGCAACAGATTAGCAGATTTTTTTGTTCTAATTTAATAAATTTATTCACCATCACTTCAAAGCAAAGAAATGCAAACAGGAAATCGTGTGTGCTTTCAATCTGGCCAAGAAAGTACTAAATGACAGAGAAAGAAAAGAAATAATAATTTATGAGATTCTTCTCTGCATGCCAAATGTTTTTACATTTTTACATTTAAGTGAACGGGGTTGCCTTTTTCCATCAGTTCTCTGGAGATTTACATGCTTAGCTTATATTGGCCTTGAGGGGAGTTATTAAAATAAAGAAGTATAAATACTCACAGAAGATCAGAACACCAGGTTATTTGCTAAGACTAAAAATAAACTTCTCTTGTGAAGTCTTAATTGGAGAAAAGTGAGTCAGCATTTCTTTCCCTTATTTTATCTTAAATTTTTCATCCTCCTTACAGCAGCAAAATCCAGTCTTGGAGTCACTTATGGTCAGACAGAACTGAGGAGCAGCAGTGAGCAGTGGTCTTTTAATTGCTGCTGAATGTAAATCTGCTGTTTCAGAAGCTGCATAAATACCATTCAATAATTAACTTATGTAGCATCCCTTTAAAACATCATCACATGTAATTTCTCATCTGAAAGCAGCCTCACTGGGGTAATACTATTTTCTATTACTTACAAAGATTATTTAAGCCCACACATGAAAGTGTATCATTACGCTTATTCTTCAGTCTCCTATTCTTTGGTCCTCAAAAATTGAACTTAAAACCAACTATGGACTATGAGATATGCTTTGGATTCTACAATTAATATTCTCTAAAACTTTATAAAACCTGAGTATCTGACTGGAGACACCTCAAACCCAGTGTTCACATGGATGTTCCAGATGTAGATGCTTGGCAACTCAGAAGAATAAATTTTTAAAATTGAATTAGGGGCTTAAAAAATGGTAGTCAATATCACAGTATTTTTCACAGGTCAGTAGTTCTTTACCAGGTAAGTCATCCACTGAGTCCAAGAGATACAAAGTCTAAAGTAATTATTCTTGCCTTCCATCCTAAAAGGTATTATTTCTTTGTTGGTTTTTTTTTTTTTTAATGGATAGACAGTGTGGATGAATAATGACACATAGTTTTACACAAAATTAAAGGTTGGAAAAGCTGCAATAGCTCCTTCATCAACACCCAGCATAAAAAGGACTGCCAGACATTATCTGTCTGCATGACGAGCCTGAAACCTACAAAATTAGCCTTTCTGATCCACAAGCATTATGTTCCTTTTCAAATATTTTATTAGGAAGAGTAAAACTCCCACTGGCTTCAATGGCATTTTTTTCTGACTTAAGGATGTAGGAATAAAAATAAAAATAACTGCATAGACATGCATTCATTTACTCTGAGGGCAGAATTAGGTGTGAACAAAGCTGACATGTTGCTTCACTATTATTTTTTTAAATGTAAAAATTATTATTAATAGTAAGAGAAAATGAAATCAGAAAATAATTCTATGAAAATGATTCTGATATTTTCTGTCATGAAATATGTACTACATTAATGTGTGAAGTTTGGGTGGGAAAAACTGAAGAATGGCTTTGATATATTTAAAGGTTCACTTGAAAAGACAGTCAAACTTCAGAGATGACATCTCAGCTGCCCAACTACATGTCAAGATCCAGTAACAAGATTTTGGATTACAGAATGGTAAGGAATTTTGCATCCTGCAGACAGGAGAAAACCCCAAAGAACAAGCTCTGTGTGAAGAAGAATGACCATTCTCCAATGCATTGTTCCCAAGGAACTCAAGTAGAAAAAACAGAAAAGGTCAGGATTAAAGGCACAAAAAACTAGTGCCTTATTAAAAATGTGTAAATACTTTAAAAAGCCAAATGAAATTCTATGCTGGTTCCCTGTCATCAAGTAACGAAGTAAATACCGAGGTATGTAGTTATTATCACTCTTCCAGTAACTATGATTTGTTCTAAGAAATGTGCTAATCCTCTAAATAACACACTGCAGAACAGAAACTAAGAAATTACTGTGACCAGAGATGAGGTAGCCAAAATTTAGAAGTCCAAATGGACTGGCTATTCTGCAATTAGAAACACTACATAAAGGTAAACCAGACACACTAAAACATCTGTTTTAGAAAATTAGAAATTAGAGCCAGACTTATAAAGACACAACTCAATCTTACTTGATGAAGTTGAAAATATTCTCTGCCTAATTGGAGATTGGATTCCATAACTCAGTCACAAGGTTTTTCCCTCCTTCTGTAAGCAGCTGGCCTGGAGAAAAGGATACTGTCCTGCCACAGCAATGGAAAGCTGTGCTTTGCAGTGCCATACCACAGGCAGGCAGCTCAGGAGTAGCAGATGTGCTGGGACTGAGATCTGTGAATGCTGAAGGGCTGTACTATGCAGGGCTACTAGATAGTCTCAGTCCCTCTGGATGG